TGTTTTTTGTGCAATATCGTAAATCTAACGGTTCAGACTCATTCTCATTTCTCACATTTTTTGTGCAATATCACAAGTTATTATGTAAAATTGAATGTGCATTACGCGAAACTTAAATGTGCATTAGGTGAGATGAAAATGTGCAACACAAATGGTACAATACAATGACATTATTATGTGAAGGTGAAATGTGCATTAGATGAACTAAAATGTGTTGAATAAAAAGCACGATATGGTGACATTTTAATACCTTTTATTCTGCACATTTCAATATAATCTAACCTAATGCACATTTGAGTTTTATCTTTTATTCTGCACATTTCAATATCGTCTAATGCTCATTTCAGTTTCAGCCAATACACAATGCAATTTCACATCATACAATCGAAGGATCCGAATTCTTTCTCATTCCACCACGGTACATATATAGCTAATATACTTGGAGTCAGAACAACATTAGACAATAATGTCATACTTCCTCCGTTCCCTTTTAATTGCAACAGTCAACATTTCACGTTTGCCAACGCACAAGTTTGACCATTGATATCTTTCATTCCTTATTAGTAAAAAATTTAAAAATTTCATATTTTGAAAATTTAGAATGAAAAGAATTTAATAATATTTTTTGAAAATTTAATTTATAATACATTAATTAATAAAATATAGTCAAAGTAGAATATGTGAATAGTGCAAAAAGTCCAATGTTGCAATTAAAAGAGAACGGAGGTAGTATTAAATTGGCAGTCTATAGCTACTACGACCATACTATACTAGCTAGGAATAATGGAAATAAAAAATGTCTCATTTTCTTTTTTAGAATACCGACGTACCTAGCATAAAGACATATATATGTATGTATTGAATAAGACATGCATCATTTCCGGAATGAGATATTAATTCGATGCTTTCACTGAGCCCTTAAAGCTTAAATTTCTTATGTAGAATAATAGAAACCAGCAACGACTTCTGATGTGTACGTAGCTGTAATTGGACCTGCATGCATGCAGAAGCCAGAAGCTACTTACGTTACGTTGATTGCAACAGCAAACTATATCAATATATATGAGCTTTGATCATCTCTACCACAAATGGTTACAATGTTTGCAGGTGCCACAGCCCACACATGTTCTGCCAATTTGTTTATATATCCATTTTGGCTATTTGATGAACTTACGCCATGTGGCCATATTAATTTCATGCTTTAGTACTATAATGTTCTATTTTGTTGAAACGGTCCGGCTCACTCGTCGCTGATTCTCTCTCATAAGAGAGGTATGAGTTCAAAATTCATGGAAGTAATTTTAATCTTATTTACTCGGCCCCTCGGCCCCTCTACCCCTAGGGTAAAAATAGAATTGAACTACTCCGTAGAATACTCTATTGAGTTGTTCTGTTAAAGTCTATTTGTTACTACCTTCATCCCAAAAATGTTCGTCATATTGATTTTTTTGGGTCAATGATAACAAATTCGTTTCGGTGGCTGGTCAAACCGGACCTATTTCGAGTAGCACGAGAAGACAAATTGCGGGACGAGTCTACATAGTTGCAGGGTTAGCGAACATAATAGCTTTTATATGATTTTTTTGTTCTTTGTCTCACCCTAGTTTAGCATTGAACACTGTGATTGTAATGTTTCGACTTTTGATTGTTACGTTTCTGGCTACCCTTTTCAATAATAATTAAGTTATTGATTTTCAAAAAAAAAGTTGTTCCTTTAGTATCATTTAATTAATAAATCAATTATTTTATTTCAAAAACGTGAGATTTAAGCTGGGAGTCTGGGACTAGAAGTAATAATTTTTGAGTATATATAGCCATCAATTAACCAAGGATTCAAACCCAGCTAGTTGTGAGGTTATCGTGCCTAGTGAAAGAATTTGAAACTCAATGGAGTGCCTGATTACTCTAGACCCCCAGCCCCCCTCCCCCAAACCCCATGGAGTAAAAAAAAAAATCAATGATAATTAGCATCACTATGGAGTGCAAGTTTCCCATTTCCCGGTGCAGGCGGGTTCGTTAATTTCACATGTCTTTCGGACTCAACTATCCAATTAAAGACTAACCTGCTCAGTTTCCTGATCCAGTATTTCCAGGCCCAGGCCCGCCCCTGGACTACATGTGTATATCTGAATGCTGACCTCCACGGCTTCCCCCTTCGTTGTTCTGGCGTTGACTTGGTTTTAAATGGGCCCACTTCCAAATTTGTCCAACATGCACGAAGCAAATTAATTAAATATAGATTATTATTAAACAATTTATGGCTTATTTATATATTTGTAGGGAGGAGGGCTATTATTTGTTAATTAATCAAATTAAGAGATACTTTGTTAACCCTTTTTTGAGCTTATCAAGGTTATCATGCGTTCAATTGTACTGTGCAATAATCAAAATAATAAAGATTTACATTACTTTTCAGACTGAATTGGCTAAACAGCCTAAATTTAATTACTCAAAAGTGCCAAATTTAGCTATTTTCATAGATTTTTCGTTTAATTTATTAACAAAATATATTTTGAATATCATTTCTTCATAATTCAACATATTCAGTCAATTAAGTCAATTTTATTAGAAATTCATTAATTTCAGCAGATTCAGTGGATTAAGCCAGTTTTATCATAAAACAGACTCTAAATATCTACGGGTTAATTACGTTTTTGGATGCAGCGCTGAAGGCCTGCTTGTGACTCAGGCAAGGATTTGAACCCTTCAGCCTCTTTATCTCTTCCCTGAAGATATAACAACTTCAAATTTAATTGGGAAAAACGAAAATCAATGCATGCAATAAATATATATATATATATATATATATATATATATATATATATATATATATATATATATATATATATATATATATATATATATATATATACACACACACAGAGTAATGATCCGGTCAGGAGCTCCTGACCGGAACCGCCGTCCGGACCACGGCGTTTGGCCTTCTTCCCGGTGATTTTTGCAAGTTAACTGGTCCGGAAAATACATATTCCGGACCAGTTAACTTGCAAAAATCATTTGACGACCTTGCCGATTGAGTTTTTGTCTATATATATATATATATATATTGAGGGATATATTAATTATTAATTAGATGTGTACATGTACATACTTGATGAAGCAATTGTATGCTGACGGTGGTCGTTGCCTCTTCTCGGGAGCTGCGATGGCACATATATAATTCACGTATATGAACTTTAATTAATGTACTACTCTAAAAAAAACTTTAATTTACTAATAGGTATTTAACAATTCATCTGCACCAATTTAAACACTAGTGACTAGTGTCTCTTTTATTTCATTTAATTCTCTCTTTTAAATCTCATCTTATTTTACATTAGCACTAAGTATGTACTCATTTACGCTTATAAAAACTTCCAGAAATAAGAATGAAAACACATGTGGGAGGGAAATAATGGCACTCCTATTTGAAGAATAGTGTCATGTTTTACTCATATTATATATGCAAGTTGAATTGTGTTAAATTGAAAAGTATGAATAAAAACTTACCGTATGGTACGTACAAACTTACGTTAGTTATAAGAGAAAATATATACTACCTACTTCATATGAGGTCTAAATTTTAGTTTCCACTGTACTATTACTTCAATTAAATGTGAGAAAATAAATGTGAGGGAAAACAAGACAGGCCCTAAGCAAGATATAGGATAATAGAAGTAATAATAAGTAGGCATTATATTATACGTTTAGTAGCAGCAATCTTTATATCATCATCAACCATATCATCATCGTCGTCGTCATCATCTTTGACGTCATCCAAAAAGGAGCACTTTTTCTTCATGTTTGTAGGATTAGAAGCATTTCCTTTTTCTTCATCAGCTTCACCTTCTTTCGCAAACTGCTTCAATTTTAGCATTATTGATAAGTTTTACGTAGTACGTACATACAAACGGGAGGCATATTAATTAATTACATATTCTAATATACTACTTGCGTTTCATTAAACTTTGTCAAGTTTCCCTTTGTATCGATCGTGTCCAAAAATCACTAAAATCACTTCCTTTAATACTCCCTCCGTCCCCGAAAGAAGTTCTCACTTTCCTTATTTGGATATCCCTAATTTAAGTTCTCATTTCCTTAAATGGAAAGTTATCTACATCAAAAAAGTGCCAAACAGTGCAAAACAGTGTCAAACAGTGCCAAACATTGTCGAAACAGTGTCAAAACAGTAAAATTTACCCCCTGGTAAGTTTACTTGCATAAAAGTGTGTGAAGGTCAAATGAGGAACTTCTTTCGAGGACGGAGGGAGTATTAAGTACGTGTTTTTTCTAAAATCACTTTTTTAGGTAGAATCAATCACACTGTGGCTCCCTTAGGGTGTGTTTGGGAGTTTGAGGGTGAGAGAAGGGGAAGGCTTTGAGGGGGAGTAGAGGGAAGGGAAGGGGAGGGAGATGGAAATGGATTCCCTCCTCTTGTTTGGGAGTTATAAATTCCAAAAGTGGAGGGTTTTGGAGGACATATATTTAAAATGACCCATGTACCCCTTTCTCATTGTATAAACATTATAGTACATTGAATGTTACATATATTTTTATTATTTAGATTAGATTACTAGTTGCTTTGATATTTTTCTTGAAAAATTGCTTCAATATTTACATATATAAATTATGAAGAGTATGGTAATATCAAATTCAAAATAAAAAATTATAGAATTTCCAAAAATGGTTTATTATTATATAATTCAGTGCACAAAATAAAAAAATTACGTATTTAATGAAAAAACAACTAGTAAGCTAATAAGTAAAAAAAAGAGTCAGAAAATGAAGTCATATTTTTTAAAAAAACATCATAATGATTATTTAATTTTTTTTTGAGAGAATAATAATTATTTAAATAAATAACAATATTTAAATTCACATTTCAATTTCACAAAAGCAAACAAAAAATTACTGTTTTTTTATTAAAAAAGTTTTTAATAATTGAAGTATAATATATCCAAAAACTTGCTATATACCCATACTTTTGACAAAAAATTAAACCAAAATGAAAAATAAATATACTACGTTTAAAGGAACACAACTAACTTTAACCATCATAGGACAATAATATCTCAGCGTATTAAGTCTCACATTTTATTTCAAGTAAGTACTAGCAGTTATATTTATCTAGTACATTCCAATCAATAACATAAAAAGGTCAGAAGCTTGACTTTCACACGCCTTTGCCTTCACTGATATGGCCTGCATCAAAAAGAAAAATTGGTTAATATAATATTCAAAACTTGCAAGTAATAATTAAATAAACAACAAAATTATTTAAGTAATAATTAAATAATTAAGTAATATTCAAATGGGTAGTATCATTTTGGGACACCCCAAAATGATAGTATCATTTTGGGACGGATGTAGTATCATTTTTAAAAGTTTGATCCTAAGCAACAATGGTTTTACATAGACGGAAAAAGTGCATCCTAAACTTGCTATTTCTAGATTTCTTCCAACAATTTTGCACTAACATATTTCTAGTAAAAAACAAACACTTAACAATGCTAGGGACTGTTTTTTTCATTAAAATTCTGATTGCTATTTTGTTTGCTCATCTCAAAAAATGCAAACAAAATAAGGCCAATACATTTTAGACCAATACTGTTTTGATCCATGCTTCTTCAAAACCCAAAAAACTGTTTGAGGGCACTGGTTGTAATCACTAGCAATATAATTAAGAAAATGATGAATAAACACACAAAACAGCACTTCTGCGAGTGAAAATTTGGGTCACATAGTGAAAAGAAGAAACATCAGCTCCATAAAATACAGAGGAACTTGGACAAGATAAACAGTTTAATACCCAAAGTCTACCTTTTTCCATGATTCCATATCTTCCATTCATACCAATGTCACTTTCAACTTTTCAACTTGCAAGTCAAAATTTATATTAAATATTAAACTATAAAATAATAAACACTTTCAGTCATTCACAAAGAAAGATTGGGGAAAAAACACCCACTCCTTCACATTTCCTTCCCAAAAGTGAGAACGTGAAGAAAACATCTTCTTAACACTCCCCCCCCCATCATCAATGGAAGGTCCATTATGGTCCCGAAATAAGCAGTGATTATTTGAAAATAAAATACGTTCCTAAAGGATGGACGGTCTGGTTGTTCAATTATTAAATAAGGTCAGTCCAGAAGGATGTAAACAGACTATACTTATTAGCCAGAGCAAGAAAAACATATCAATGGATGCCGGTGGACTATACTTATAACCTCATGTCAGTCCGGAAGGTCAGTGTACTTATAACAGACTATACTCATCAATTAATAGTATACTAAAAAATAAACTAAAGTACTTAAAAACATAATAAGATAACCTGGTAGTAGATGCCGGTGGACCAAACACCATTTCAACAAGCAACTCCTTCTGTTTGTGCTTGGGGCATCCAATGAGTCCTTTGATCATATCGGGATTGTTGAGAAGATATAGATATGCTCGGTTGATCAAATGATTTTCAATATGCAAATCCTCCAAAAGCTTCCAAAGCTCAACTTCAGAAATCGGAAGCTTTTGATGAGATTTTTCATAAGCTACCGTGCTCTCACGAAGCGCAGAAGTGCTGTCCTTAAAAGCTTCAGCAATCGTCATAAGTGCCGCTGTTATTCCTCCCTCTTCAACCTTATCCTTGCCTTTCTTTGACCGCTTGGACTTAGGTTCATCTCGGACATCTTGCACTCTGATCTGAGGTGATGTGACATCAACATCATTGACACCTTCTTGCACACTATCACTAGTCTCCACTGAATCTGCACCAAATGATTTATCCTTCCTAATATCCTCACTGGTTTCTGACATCCCTCCATATGCTCGGTCTTCTCCACATATGATCACCATCTTGTCGTAGTTCGCAATCGGTTTCCTCATCCACTCTTCAGCATCGGGATGAGCCTATTAAATAAAATTAAATGAAATAAGAGAACTTAGAATTTCATAATATGTAAAATAAACTGAAAAATAAAGTTAGTTAAATTTGAGAACTTTTTGGTTGTACCTCTACCAGTGTTTTCCAGACTTCAGGTTCAGCCAACCAACGTTTTGAGATTGGATCCCAAGCAAAGCCACTGAGATTTTTGAATAAATCATAACACTTGGTAAAATTTCTTTTCAATAACTTCCATCTCCCTTTCACCTTATCTTTCTTGAAAGGTCTTCCGAACTTATTTTGCAAGTCACTAGTGATTGACATGTAAGCCTTTGTGGTGAATGTCCCGCTCACTCTATTCCCTTCATTATGTTGTTGTAGGAATGAATTAACAAGTTCATTGTCCATATCTGTTGTCCATATCTCCCTGTCTATCGTGTACTTCTTTCCTGTTGCCTTCACACCCTTAGAACTGGCAGTTGCAGCATCCATTTCCATCTCTATAAATCCATTATATTAGTTCTAAGAAAAACTTCAATAAGAACATATGATTTAAAATAAACTATGCAGCAATGACAATCATTTAATTATCAATCAACAAGTCAAAATATCTTTCAAGTTTGAAACAACCTTAGAAGTTAGAACAATTCCAAGGTTCACTCCTAATTAAAAAAAATAAACATCACGATGTGTAATCTGTCCACATAGAATTAGCTATAGCATTTCTCAAGTTCTCTCCTAGATGAGTATGTTCTTCAATCTCGTTGTGTTCCACATAACTCGAAATTTGAGCTTCATTTTGATTGGTCATTTCTGCATCAACTTCAGCCATTAACTCCTCATCAGGATCCGCTACCATGAGATAATTGTGCAAAATGCATGATGCTATGATAATCCTATTTTGTGTCTTCACGTCATAGTGTGCTTCTCTTCCAGTCGCAATGATAGGAAATCTCTTCTTCCAAATACAAAAGCATCTCTCTATGGCATTACGCAAGGATGCATGTCGGTGGTTGAATAGTTCTTGAGCTGTTCGAGGTGGATTTCTTGAAGACCATTCCTTCAAGTGATAACGTGTTGATCTAAATGGTGTAATGAGTCCCTTTCTTAGCATAAACCCAGCATCAAGAAGGTAATATTTACCTATTAAAAAGTGTTATTAATAACGTTTATATATGAGCATGCGTATATTTACAATAAAAAAACTTTTAATTACCTTCTGGTATTTTCAAACAGCTTGTTCGACTTAATGCATCTTTTAAAATCCTTGAATCTGATGCAGTTCCTTCCCACCCGGCCAAAACGTAAGTAAACTGCAAGTCAAAAGAGCACGCAGCCAACACATTTTGTGTTGGGAATTCTTTCCTACCTCGGTATCTAGGAGCATCAGCTGATGGCACTCTTACACGAACATGGGTACAATCGATTGCCCCGACACAATCCTAAAATTGTGAATTTATTGTATTAATTATTTTTATCGGAAAATTATGTTTCTAAATTAAAAATTAAAATAATTTATACCTCAAAATAAGGATAAAATCGACTGCTCCCTAGTATTCTTGAAGGTATCTGTGAGCCATCCGGTTGTTTGAGATACTTTCCCTCTAGAGCAATAATTGCTTTAAGCACGCGATGAAAATGGCGACTTATAGTTTCACCAGAACGTTGAAACCAAAACTGAACCACTTGACTTTTTATACCATGTGTTAGGATATGTAGAGTTTTTGCCACTTGTTCCTCTACACACACACGTTGTGTTGGCAAAAGACCACCCTCACTCTGTAACATGGCACATAGGTCCATAAAAGCTTTTGGACCCATTCTAATTATTTTACGACCCTCATTAGTATCAAGTTTTTTCATCGTTTTAGTTCGTTCTCTCTCTCTCTCTGTGATTAGAGCATGACTTGGTCTTCTATTTCGAGCGCTTTTGGTTATGAAATAATAAACTACAATGCATACAACATAAATTGTAGCCATTTGCAGTCTTTGTATCTTTCTATGCAAATCCAATATGCGTGCATCATCCATCTATAAGAGGTAGAATTCTAATAATATGTTAGTAAAAATTGAAAGAGGGAAAATAGTCTTTTGTACTTTTATATTTTCTAACAAAAGTACATTGAAGAAGCAAAGATGTTTCCTATTATCACAAAAATACAATTAATGACTTACAATTTTTTCCTAAAAATTAATACTTACCTAACAAAGATAATAAATCAAGGCTGTTTTCACTTTTTAGGTTGCTAATATAAAGTGATGGACTTGTTAGTCATGTTCCAAATAAAATTTTGAGCAACAGAGAAGTTGCAAATACTCACTGGTTGTAAGTCACTAAAATTAGAAGTAAAGAACTCAGGTAGTCATGCATATATGTGTATAGCCACTAACATTTGAAGTGGAAAAGGTGTGGAAGTCATCTTTCTCACAACAAGTTTAACTGTCAAATTTTCACCTTGATCTTTGGCTCAAATCGAAAGTTACAAATAAGTGCCTTAATCAGTCAGTTTTATCTAAGCTTCATTCACAAATAAAAGAATGGAGATATATTTCTATATATTTTTATGAAGAGGGTTGAGTTTTTTCAGACTCAATTACCCTGATATTTGCTCAAAGATAGTTTTTAAGGAAAGGTTCAAGATTTGAAAGTTTCAAATAAGTCCCTTATTCAGTCAAGTTTCAAGATTTGAGTTTAAAGAAAGTAAAAATATTTTTAAAACTATATAAAAAGAGTACTCATCTCAAAGTTTGACCATCAAAAAGTGAAAAGGCACAAGTCTTGATGCAAAAAGTGAACTGAGTTATCTTATACTCAGTATGTTATAGACTTTTGCAGTTGTTGCACTTCTTCATGCCATCTCATATTTGCAGACACAATTTTGTAAACCTATATATCTGGTTGGCAAAATATACTTTGACAGAAGAACAAAGTTATCTTATACTCCATATGTAATAGACTTTTGCAGCCAATTAAATCTGGAAAGTATAGATTGATTAATTAAGACATACATATACAATCGCGACTAAATATATCACCACCACTTTGGAAAAGAATTCTATCAGATAGTGGAATTTAATTTATTAAATAAGCCTGTAATTAATGATGGGTGAATAAAGGCTTGCTCAAAAAATATCAAAAATCTCAAATCTAAATACCCAACAATGATTCCATGAAAATGAATAACAAATTGAAGAAAAAATCATACGAAGAAGCACATGACTAGCTAAATACCAGGTATAAAATCCATATCTCACAAAAAATCCAAAGAAAAATTGAATCAATATGAGGGAATGTGAAATACGATTGAGAGACAGAGAGGCCAAATGTTGAGCGGAGATAGAGTGAAGCAGATTACAACAAAATACGAAAAATGCTTGGCAAATAGAACATACCTGAGAATTTCGGTGAAGTAGTGAAGGTGTGGCGTCGATAGCAGAGGATCCACTTCAAGCAGCAAGGGTTCCTAGCGATTTGATCGAGCAGAGAAAAAGCTTCAAGCAGCAAGTGTTCCTAGCGATTTGATCGAGCAGAGAAAAAACTTCAGGTAGGGTTCCTAGCAGATACCATAGTTGGGAGAAGATTGTCGTTCGTAGAGCTGGGCTAGTTGCTTGATCGGTTGGTCCTTCGAAACCTCCCGATTTGGGGGAATTAGAAAAGTCGGTCTTAGAGGGGTTTAGGAGGATTTTAAAAAACCTTCAAAAACTTTCCTTCCATTTTAAAAAACTCCCAAACGCAAAATGGGGGGTCATTGACCCTCATATCCCTTCCCCTCCCCCCCAAAATCTGACTCCCAATCACACCCTTAAGGATTACCTCATGGTGATGATGATCAAGGGAAGCAAAGTGGTGGAAGGGAAGCTGGAAGCAAGAAGTTCTGATCATCATGTTTACGGAAAGAATGGCTGCACAGTGGCCGCACCTCACCGTCACTGCCGCCGTGCTTAGACTGCTCCGCGGCACACTAACCTGCAAGCAACCCATCGCCCAATCATTATTATTAAACCACGTGAAATGTACAAGCTAAATAAATAAACAGTAAATGTAAGTGAACTGCAAATTGTTAAAATAAATAAATTATGTGTTTTTGTGATTTGATGTATAAAAAAGAAAGGGAAAAATGTAATTATTACAAGTAAAATGGTGTTGCAGTTGCCACATTTGACATAGCACAGTTTGTTTTGGAGATTCATGAGAGGGTTCATTGTTGACATGTGTGTGTTTTATGTGGGGGGCTTAAGACTGTATGGGGTAGAAGGGATTCACAAGAAAGGGGGTATCACTTTGAACAGATATATATGGAGATAAAAGTCAAATACTCCAATACTTCGAATGGGGTTGGGGGTGTGGTGGGGTGGGGTCGATGAGGGTGTGAAATTGTGAAAATATATACTACCTCCGTTCTTAAATAAATGCAACATATGAAAATTTACACTATTCACATGTTCTATTTTGACTACCTTTCTTCTAATCCTACAAACATGAAGACAAAGTGCTCCTTTTTGTATTAATAATTTTTTATGAAAAAAATATTGTTAAATTTGTCTCATTGTAAATTTTTAAAATCTAATTTTTTGAGTTTTTTACTAATAAAAAATTATACTTCCTCCGTTCTTAAATAAATGCAACGATCAACATTTCACACTTGTCGAGACACAACTTTGACCATTAATATAAATGATTTTGTATTAGTAAAAAATTTAAAAAATTAGATTATGAAAATTTACAATGAGACAAGTTTAACAATATTTTTTTCATAAAATAATATTATTACATTGATAAATAAAATGTAGTCAAAGTAGAACATGTGAATAGTGTAAAAGTCAAAGTGTTGCATTTATTTAAGAACGGAGGTAGTATGTATTAATGGTCAAAGTTGTGTCTCGGCAAGTGTGAAATGTTGACCGTTGCATTTATTAGAGAATGGAGGAAGTACTTACTTAATAATAAAGTAGAAACTTGCCATTCAAAATGAATTCTAAAATATTTGCTATTGCAATCACACTCGTGGGTGCGTGCGTGTGTGTATGGATGTGCGTGCGCGTGTGTGCGGATGTGGGCGGGCGGGCCCTAGTGTCCTTTGTTCCCGCCTCATCCCTGGTCAGAACATAGTATAACCTTTGTTAGTAATATACGGTTCGTGAATAATACAATAATACGTACGTTTGTGTATAATACGATACAATTATTTAAAATACGGCTTAATATATGTTTCATACGTTCGTGGAATATATAAAGATACGAACGTGTTTTAAACGTTTCACAATTTAAAAATACGGCATATATATAATATGTGTCATATATACTAATTTAATAATAGAAATAAAGAGTTATTTAACATTTTAACCACATTCTTCAACAATTTAAAATGTACATAATATTTTTTTCAGATATACAGATTCGAATGCATAGGTACAATAAGTAATAAAAATGACATTGCCTATTTAAGTAGAAGTAAAGAGATATTACTAGAGAATAGTTGATATTACTGTGGCCGTTTGGTGAGCCGCCACAACATTTTTCGATCTCTTTGGAGTCTTGGTATGGGTGGAGAACAAAAGCAATACAATAGTAGTACAATAGTAATATCGAAACAGATTACGAATTTAAGAAGCTAATTTTATTAAATGTAATGACTACATATTAAACAATTAACGAACATATAAGGCATAAAGTTTTTTAAACAATATAAATAATATTGAGCAGCTAGACATTTCGTTTCAGTTGTATCACTCCATTAGGCTTCCGTTTAATGGTCTTTGTTTTTGAATAAAATATGTATCAGTACATACAATATGTGTGTTATACATTTTATCCTTAATGTACGTGAGTTTTTCAGAATTTTCTGAAAAATTCATAAACGAGAGTATTATTCGTGAATAAAATACGTATCAATACGTACGGTACGTGTATTATACATTTTATCCTTAAAGTACATGAATTTTTCAGATTTTTTTGAAAAATTTATAAACAAGAGTATTATACGTGAATTATCCGTTTAAGTGTATTATACACGAATTATACGCGAATAAACTAACGGAGAGTATAACCCCCTTCCTCCCTTCATTTTGGGGTCCATCTGGCTAGCCTGCAAGTCGGGCTTGGGTTTCCGCTTCATAATGCCGTTCTGGACATTATGTGCTATTACGGCGTCATTTCAGGTCAGCTTACCCCAACCACCCACATGTTCATCCCTCGGGTTCATTGCCTGGTGCATTCATCTGAAGATTAGGCCTTATCTCGACATATTCATCAACTTCTTTCATTCTGTGAGATTTGGCTCTTCTGATGCGCTGGGTTATTTTTCAATCACCCAACGGGCTGGTCATCGCTTCTTTGAGGCCAAATCCTACCCTGACTCCTTCAAGGGCTGGAGGCTTAAGTGGGTTTGGGTTACCCCGACAGATGGTAGGCTCCCATTCGAGAACAAGTGGGGGGAGCTGATTCAGAGATAGGTGATCTGATGCCGATCCTTCCAGAAGGAAATGATAAGGCCGCAAAATTGATCATTGAGGGCTCACCCTTCCTGATGGGGCATTACATAGGCGACAACGGGGTGGTTGTGCTTGAATTTAGATCAGGTCAGAAACATATGATCGTAAACTTGCTATATTTTCTTTTGTTTGATTGTGTCCACCTTTTCTAACCCGGTTCTTGTCTTGATTTAGCGGGTGATAAGATGGCATCCCGACTGGAGCGACTTGCGGGTATTATTAAGTACCTTAACCAATTTTATATTTTAATAATAACTTTAACAACCGGTAAATATTAGACTGGACCATGTAATGAAGAGAGGATAAAAATGTTGGATTTTTTTTTTGGATTATCAATAATTGGGATCGTTTGAGGAAGACCGGGTAAAGGTTGGATTATTAGTATCAATTGTTCCTATAATTTATTCATAATTAAGCGAATTTGGTAAATTTCAACATTATTTAACGAAATCTTAATACACATCGATCTTATTTTAGATCGAACTTAATGCAAAGTAAGAACATTATTTTGGTTTGTTATAGAACATTAGAACTTTTCCCTAGAATATCACTCAAATAAAATTTATGGACAAATTAAAATATGATTAAAATGACTATTTGTGTCACATCATCACCACAAATTGAACACAATAAAAATCCCAAAAGAATAGTCTCTTTCCAGGAAGAGATATTTTTATATACCATTGTTATTTTTTTTAGTTTTTTTGACGAAAGATAACTTAATTCGTATTAAAAACAAGAACAAGATACAAACTTGTCATAGTAAAGAGTAACTGGGAAGAGACTCAAAGTTGTAATCACGGAAAAGAGCGGCCCAACTCGCTAATCCCGCAATGTGGTAGACTTCACTAATAGCAATGTTGCACCTGCTACTATAACTGAAATTAAAATAAAAGCAACAACATAATTCAAACATCCCTGTTTCACCAGCCACTAGAAAGAGGGAAGAGATTTGTACATCCACCTTCAAAGGAAGCAACCTGATTTTATCACCCATCGGAAAAAGGGAGAAGATGTTCGACCAGTCATCTCCAAAGGAATCATCTCGTTTACGGGTCCTGTCAGTATTTGAGGCGGTGCAGTTCTAGGAGCGCCGCCGCCTTGCCGTTTTTTATCACTCATCAACCTCCTCAATTGACATCCTTTCATAAGCCTGATTTAAGCTCTCCATTAATATGAATAAAAAATGATAGACAAACAAGAAGAAGTAGTGGAACTCACAATCATAAGCGAACACACATTCACAATTAAAACAGACAAAATCCTTGGCCAGGGAAAACTCAACCAGACAAAATTCTTGACAACACAGAGACATCGGACAACCACATTAATCAAAATCAATTAAACAACCCAAACAAACGCTCACACACGAAGCGCACAAACACGCAACAAAAAAAACCAACAGGACAAAAACTCTACCACAGATCACAAAACAAAGCAAGTAGAGAACAAAAGATGAAAGCAGCGAAACAGAGAAAAGCGGAAACAAACTACCCGATTCCAGCGAAGCCAAGACCAGAGCTGACCGGCTTCTCCACTACTTGATCATCCATTCAATCCAATTAAACTGCTAATCTGTGAGGGGCGCTGACCTCTATCGCAGCGAGCCGCTCCATCTAGGGTTTTAGTCACATTACCATTTGTATTGTATACTTCATATGTGTGTGTGTGTGTCCGGTGACAGATTTAAGGGTTTAGAGTGGTCACCTCACCCTTGAAAGTTTGTGCATGTGAGTCATTGATAGATCTTCAATTTGATATATTATAACTTATTTAACTCATTACGATTAAAAAGTTATGACTATCGGAAAATTAGCATCATCTAAACTTGAAAGGTGCATTATTTGATGCATAATACTAGTTATATTCCCAATTTCTATAAATGATCTTATTTAATGATTACTTACATAATTTTTTATATATATTATATACTTCTCCCATTCTTCAATAGTTGCAATACTTTTTTGAAATAATTACACAAATATGACCAAAATAAAGATGATTTACAAAAATAGGACTAGTTAGTAGAGTAGTAATGAAATCATAGTAATTCATGTTCAAATTTTAAACAAGTTTTATTTTAGTAATATTATTGTAAAAAAAACCCCTACTTTCTTTTTGCATTATTCACTCATCTTAATTTTAGCATAATTTTCTACTACTGTATATACTCAAATTATTATGTATAAACCCTCAAAAATAAATTATTATGTACAAAATACTATTAAATTTCCATTGATTTGAATTTTCAAAATATTACTAGTAACTTTTTATAATGTGACTATTATATAATTAAATATAATACATTCAAAATTATATATTGACAAACATGAGAGTCAAATTGTTATGATTTGAAAAGAACACAAACAATATACAGTAGTATCAAACTAATAATAATTTAGGACTTATTTAAATCATCATTTATTTTACAACATATGAAATATTTTACTCCATATTGTTTTAAAATGCATTGTCATTTTGAGTCGTCTAATAGCCTAATAGGGATTGAAATGAGAAATAATTACGTAGTACATAAATATAACCAAAATAAAGATAATTTACAAAAATATAATTAATTACTAGAGTAGCAGTGAAATCATAATTAATACAATCCTACTTTGTAGTAAATAAATAACCAAATTACTCCATATTGTCATCTGCACCAAAATTCGTATTTCGCTCCGCTTGAAAGTTAGTTTCTGGGAAACATTCCTGGTTTTGCTCCGCCGCCTAAACCAAGAAATCCGTAGTGTTGAATCTGTCGCTGCGGCTCTGTATTCTCGGGGTTCTCTTGCTAGGGCTCGCACCTCACACAATAATCATGGATCTATTACGCTCGTACGCGGATGATGAAATGGAGGGCCAAGAGCAATCCGAAGAACTACATGAACCCTCCTCTTCCGACCAAAACCCTAACTCTCAACTGTTGGATCCTTCAAGTAACTCCTCGCCTGATTCGTCCCCGATTCGGGTTCCACTCCCATCCAAATCCGCCGCCCCGAAAATTAACGACACGATGCTGGCCCTCACAGTCGCCGGCGGGGCAGCTCAAGCTCTCTCGAAACCGCTAGACCCGACTCAACACTCGGTCTCCTACAATCCCACGTATGACCAGCTCTGGGCTCCAATTTACGGCCCTGCACACCCGTATGCCAAGGACGGTCTGGCACAGGGATTGCGCAATCACAAGCTTGGATTTGTAGAGAATGCTTCAATTGAGCCGTTCGTTTTCGATGAGCAATACAATACGTTTCAGAAATACGGGTATGCATTTGACCCCTCTGCGAATAGCTATGTTGGGGATATGAAGGCCTTGCAGAAGAATGACGCAATGTCAGTGTATAATATACCACAGACCGAGCAGAAGAAGAGGAAGCTGGAGAAGAAGAAGGAGATGGTTGAGAACGAAGAGGTAGAGGATGAAGGGGATGCCGATATGACGGAAGTGGATAATCCTTCCACTGAGGTGTGGTTGAGGAAGAATAGGAAGAGTCCTTGGTCTGGGAAGAAGGAGGGTCTGCAAACAGAACTGACCGAGGAGCAAAAGAAGTATGCTGAAGAGTATGCGAAGAAGAAGGGCGAGGAGAAAGGTGAAAGAGAAAAGGCAGAGCCTTTGGTTGAGAAGACTACATTTCACGGTAAGGAAGAAAAAGATTATCAGGGTAGGTCGTGGATTGCTCCTCCTAAGGATGCGAAGCCTCAAAATGAGCATTGTTATATTCCCAAGAGATTGGTGCATACTTGGAGTGGCCACACGAAAGGAGTTTCGGCTATTCGGTTCTTCCCTAACCATGGTCATCTGATTTTGTCTGCTGGAATGGATTCTAAAGTGAAGATTTGGGATGTTTTCAATTCAGGGAAGTGCATGAGGACTTATATGGGACACTCTAAGGCAGTGAGAGATATTTGGTTTAGCAATGATGGAACAAAATTTTTATCTGCTAGCTTCGATAATAATATTAAGTATTGGGATACTGAGACTGGGAAAGTAATATCTACTTTTTCCACGGGGAAAAGGCCTTACGTGGTGAGGCTTAATCCTGATGAGGATAAACAGAATTTGCTTTTGGCTGGTATGAGTGATAAGAAGATAGTACAATGGGATATGAACACTGGACAGATCACTCAGGAGTATGATCAGCATCTTGGAGCAGTTAATACTATCACTTTTGTGGATGACAACAGAAGGTTTGTGACTTCTAGTGATGATAAATCTCTCCGTGTTTGGGAATTTGGCATTCCCGTTGTAATAAAGTATATTAGTGAACCGCACATGCATTCAATGCCATCAATTGCGCCACATCCAAATGGGAATTGGCTTGCAGCTCAGAGTTTGGATAATCAAATTCTTATCTACAGCACTAGGGAGAGGTTTCAGCTGAACAAAAAGAAGAGATTTGCTGGACATATTGTTGCTGGGTTTGCATGTCAGGTTAATTTCTCACCTGATGGGCGGTTTGTCCTGTCAGGAGATGGTGAAGGTAGATGCTGGTTTTGGGATTGGAAGAGTTGCAAAGTGTTTAGAACGTTAAGGTGTCACGATGGAGTTTGTTTTGGTACTGCCTGGCACCCATTGGAGCAAAGCAAAGTGGCTACTTGTGGGTGGGATGGCTTGATCAAATACTGGTAAAAATCTAAACTTGATATTATACGAAGTAGCCTTTATATTTCTAGGTATTTAACACTGGTTAATAGTGAAGTAGCTATAGGTATTACACTAAACACAGAGGGCTAGTGATAATGATGGTGATTATATCGTTGTTGTGGTTTCTGACTTTCTGCACTCTACTTTTTTTTTGTGGTCGTAAGTGTTATGATATTGATATTGCTTAAGCTTGTTTTTGTAACTACATCGGTCTCATTAAGTTCAGGACATGAGATTGGCCACAAGTATTAACACAAAGTGGAACCGTGTGGTTAGTATTGAATTTGTAAAAAGTGAATATGATTGTGGGTCCAAAATTATGGCCAAACGGAAGGAGTGTTGGGTATCAGGGAAACTAACTATATTTTCTCATCTACAGATCTACTCACTCCATTTCAAAATAGGTTCCAACAGATTTATGTTTGCACTTTGTAGTGAGGTTTTTATTAAAAAGAATTAAGTGTAATGCACATTATAAAGCATGCCCTCAAGTGAGTCTCAAATCTCAAATGGCTCTAAAACTTTAGAAGTGAGGACTAAGGAGTTGTGAACTAAGAAAGTCATAAAGTTTGTCTAAATATGGAAAGTGGTCAGAAAAGGAAAATAAGAGAAATTGAACAGGATACAACTGACACATAAAGCTAGTGGTGCTAGATAAGGAACAGCTGTGGAGTGGATGGAGTTTGGAGGATAAATTTTCTTTTTGACCATCTAATGTCCAATTTTTTGATGTCTAGCAAGCTTTAATTAGCGCAAAATAAAATTAATTATTTTTCTATTACTCCTACAAGTATAGAATGTAGCCTAGAAATTTTCTATTTTATATGCTCTGATAGAAATGATGTTTAACATGTCTTTTTCCCACTTTTCGGATATGATTTTTTTCATAAGTAAAGCCATTGTTGATTTATGTTGTTTCCTGTTTTGAATTCTGTTCGGATGATGATCGAATTCTCTTGGGAGATGAGGCTATGAGCATTTGATTTGTGTGTGTTTGCTTGGGGTCTGGCGGGTAGAGAGGGGTTGGTTGCTGTGGTACCTGTATGCATGTATCTGGATATACCTGTCTGATGAAAATAATACCATATAATATTTGCTATTGCAGGGACTGAAGCATAGATTTGTGATTTTTCATCAACCTCACTGGCAGAAAAGGTTTCTTGAATGGAGAGGAGCTGTAGATATGAGAAGACATATGAGCTCACAGATAGATCTTTAAATTTTAAAAGGCTTTTAAGGCAGCAGCATGTACTAAATGTAACTTGTTTCCATGGTTTCCCTTCTATATAATGTGTACTTCGGTGAATTTATGTATTTCAGTGATTTTGAGCACCAGGAGGCGCCAATCAGCCAATTCATACGAAAGTGTCTAAACTTATCTGGATTTGTTCGTTTGACCTCTTTCATTTGCTGCTGTTTATGTGGTAATGTAGAATCATAGCTCATAACATGATTGCTTTCCACTGCTATCCCTGAGTAACTGCTGACATTTCTGTGTGCCTACTATTATTCGTAGTTACCCCCTGTCTCAATCTCTTTCTGGATCAGACTATGGAATGCTGAAACTTTCTGTGCTGATGGTTGAGCCACTGATGGAGAACGTGGCAATGCGTCCTGACCACATTTGCATAAAAGAGACGGCACCTTTCTGTTGGGTCTGACAGTGGATCAAATTAGGATAGAGATGGTGCCTCTCCATCTGCTGCATTCATCCATCACCTGAACCATATGCATCATCTAATTCACTCATTATTCTGGGGTGCATCGAGTACAAAAGTGTTTTTACTAGACCGGAGTAGGCATGGACCCGGTTCGGGCCGCCGGGCCCGGGCCGAATTGATTTTTTTTATTTTTTTTTTCATTTTTTGGGGTTAGTTGGGTTGGGCTTGATGGTTAGGAGGGGTTTGGGGGTGGGGGGGTGAGTGGGGGGGTTAGGAAAGCAAAAAAAAAAAAAATTATAACCGAACCGGAGGCCCGGCCCGGACCCGGTGGCTACCCGGGCCGGTCCCGGGCCGGTCCCGGGCCTTCCCAAAAAAAAAGCCCGGCCGGGCCCGGCCCGGAACCGGAATCGGCCCGGCCCGGGTCCATGACTAGACCGGAGTACTAGATCAGAAAATTCCAGTCCACGTAAAAACATCCAAACTTTGTGAAAATCAAATTCTTGCTACACGCTATCAAAATTATTAGTGCACTCAAGATTTTGTGAAATTTTTATGACTTTTAGTCATAATTTGATGTTCCCTCACCATAAATCACTCCTTCATGGTGAATATCTCATTATGAAGGGAGTGAATTGATGGCGAGTAGGGGATACAATGAAAATGAGAGATCCATGGGGAGGTAACATCAATTTATGACTTCATAATAAAGTCACATTTTGAAATGACTATCAAATACCATAATAAAAATCTAGATATGACCTGAACCAGGCTGCTCTCATTTTAGATGAATCAGAAATGTACTCGGGCTGGGCTGGTTCCAAGTACCGGTTTGGTTTTACCCTGCTAGTTCCGGTGGGAACCCACACCTTTGGCTAAGGTTCACTTTATATATAGAGAGAGAGTGAGTACTCTTCCGGTCAGGAATTCCTGACCGCAACCGCCGTCCTGACGGCGGCGTTTGGCTGCCTTCCCGGTGGAATTTTTTGATAAAATTTTACGTCATGTTCTCCGTGAAGTCTAGTTTATCCACACAAAAGATCAGCTAAAAACTCAATCGGGAAGGTCGTCAAATGATTTTTAGAAGATAACTGCGCCCAAAATATACATATAAAACGTAGTTATCTTTAAAAAATCATTTGACGACCTTCCTAATTGAATTTTTAGCTGAAAGTTTTTGTGGACAAACTAGACTTAATGGAGAACATTCCATAAAAATTTCATCAAAAAATTCCACCTGGAAGACAGCCAAACGCCGCCGTCCGGACGGCGGTTTCGGTGAGGAAGGTTGGACATGAACTTTTCTCTCACATATACATGTGTGTGTGTGTGTGTGTGTGTGTGGGGTATAGGGTGTGGTTCCGGTGCAAACCATGCTTCCGGTACTAACCTACAAACCAATACCATCCCTTGGATTTGAAATAATGGACGGCTGATGAAATATGGGATCCATTACTAAAGTCTAAAACGGTGCAGACACACGCATGAGATAAATTCGGATAACTACGTTTTTTAGTTTTAGGCATTTTAAAAGGTCACAATGGTAATTGAAAAGTAGAAGTGGCCGGCAAGTCTAGCTATTTATGGAAATAATTTAATAACTAAATCCCATGATTAAACAAATGAGCACCACACGGAAGGCAATCCCAAAATTTCAGCTAACCTCCCACTAAAATTTCAACCACCCATGTTTAGCAAATTAAGAAAAAGGAAAGATGCAAGGATTAACGTTGGAATTTTTAGCCATCAACGAAACTTGCAATAACAATCCAATTATTCTTTATTTTGGGAATATTCACTTGTCACTTTTGACAATTGTTCAAAATTTCACAAAAAGTAAATACAAAATTAAATATGAGGGAATATTTCAATTCATAATTAACCTATTATTTTTTAAACTTAAAATATTGATGTTATGAAAATTGCATTATATATTGATAACATGTGCATAGTTTATATTATAACTTCTAACACATTAAATTTGTAAGAACTTAACACATGTAAGAAGTGCCTGCATATTAAAGTTACATAATGTGCATAATAAGATTAATGGATGTGCATATTATGGTTACGAGATATGCATTATATATTTATAATATTTTAATAACTTATATTAGAACTATATAGTCATAAATATGTCAACGTTGCATTATAGTAGTTCATATCTTGCATTTTATCATTATATCATACGTTGCATCTTTCCGTTGTGGCATCTGCATTTAATAGTTTCATATGTTGCATCTTATCATTATAACATGTGCATTTTTGGAGTTCATATATTACTCCCTCCGGTTTTTAATAAACTTCACACTTTCCTTTTTGGGACGGTCTAAAATAAACCTCACACTTCCTTATTTCCTTTTTTGGCAAAAAAATCTACATCAAAACAGTGCCAAACAGTGCCAAATAGTGTCTCAACAGTGCCAAAAAGTGTCTCCACAGTGTCAAACAGTGCCTCAACAGTGTACTCTACAGTAAAGTCAAATTTCTTTCCTTATTTTGTGTGAAGTCAAACTGTGAAGATTAAAAAAAAAAAACGGAGGTAGTATATTTTAGTATGATGAAATGTGCGCTTTAATACTTCATACTGGTATAATATGTTGCATTTTATGAATATGCATGTGCATTTTAGAAGTTAATACAATGCATATTAGTAAGATGCCGTGTGCATTTTAGAAGTTCGTACAGTGCATTTTAGTAAGATAACATATGCATTTTAAAAGTTCATATTCTGCATCTTATCATTATGATTTTCCATATGCACTTTGGAAATGCATACTGCATCTTATCGTTATGGCAACTGCATCATTATATACTCAACTCACATGCATACTAAATTCATGAAATTACATAATGCATAATACATGACAATATAAGAACATAATAAATGTTTCAGGCAAATGAAGCTCTTAAACATTTTTATTTTTGCATAAACATGAATTCAATAAATGTAATGAATACAAAAATTAAAACGTTAAATATAATAAATCTCATAAAGGAAAAAATGTTTTTCCGGCGTGCACACCAGATTTCATTGTGATGGAGATTAGACATAATTCAAAACATTAAAATCTGATTAATCTCATAAAGAACAAAAAACGATTTTCCGACATGCAAGATATCATTCGGATGGAGATAGAGATGGAGATGAAGATGAATTTAAAAAAAAATCACAAAAGTAGGGTTGAGTATCAGAATCCATGTCATCCCCTGTTAATGGCGGCAAAGAAGTTATACCCAGCAAATTTACGACGAAGAAGAAATAAAATTCCATATGAAAATGAAATACAACTTCATTCGTGAAGAAGGTTAAAAGAGTGATGAAGAAGATATGGAAAAAGGTTAAAAGAAAGTGTTCGTGGTTTTTTTTCTCCAGAATTAGAACATATCAAAAGTACTTAAAGGCCCCTCAATTAATTAACTTAGGCAACGGCACACAGCAAGGAACGCGCATAAGATCAAATGAGATGGATGGCTAGGATTAGGTTTGTAGGTTAGCATATTAAGATGAGTTTGCATTTGATCTCTACTCAAATGTGTTAGACCCTAGATTTTGATGAACTGTTTTGATGATGCCAAAAGCTTTTGTTATCCCCCCTCTATTGTAGCATCATTATAGGAGTCTTTGCTATCCTCTGTTGTAGCATCTTGCAGTTGTCTAGTACTAAGAAAATTATCTAGGTGTGTCGTGCTCCTTTTTATATAGTTAACAAATAAATATGACTGGAAAACCATAAAATGCAATAAGGCAATATTGTATTACCTTAAAAGGATATCATATAAATCCAACCAGTTAAATTTATTTGTTACACACAATAACATCTCGTACAAATGAACTATCTATTTTAACTGGAAAACAAAATGCAATAAGGCAATTTTACCTTAATAGGAGTTGATATCCTACCAGTTAAATATTTAGCTTATCATGTTCGAAATACTAGATAAACCATACACTCAGAAAAAGAGTTCTTGATATTCTGTTCACTACAACAAATAACAATGTAAATTCTATATAACAAATAGAACACACTGGAAAACAAAATGAAATAAGGTAAAGTTGTCTTTATCTTAAAATTGGATATTTAAATCCAACCAGTAAAGTGTTATTTGATATATAGATAAATCAAAGTGAACAAGAATAGTGAACAACTAACTGGAACACAAAATGCAATAAGGTAATAACTATTACCTTAATAGGATTTGTTATCCTACCAGTTAAGTTGTACACAATACCTGCTAAACTACACGAGTACTTAAAAGTGACAAGAATTCCAATGTACAAACTATGTATCAGATTAAACATACTGGAACTATAAAATGCAATAAGGTAAAAATTATTTACCTTACATGGATATTTAGATCCAACCAGTATAGCTTTAATTTGGTACATAAGTTTAATCATGTCACTTAAAGAAAGAAAGTGATTAGTAAAATAAGTGACAAATTTTACTGTGAAATTTGTACCAAATAAATTGTACTGGAAAGAACAAAATGCAATAAGGTAATCTTATTACCTTAATAGGATATTTCAAAGATCCTACCAGTACAAAATTTATTTGGTACAAAATATTCTAAGTCACACATTTTACTACTTCACTACTTGAGCAGGTTCACGCACTCAGCTTCACAAGTGTAGTTGCAAGACAAGACCAATACACTCAGATGGAAGAGCAGCGAAGACATCAGAATAGGTGAATAGTGAAGAGTTTTCAGAATAGGCATGCAGAGATAAGAAGGCCTAAGGTATGGGTGTTATCTTCGTACAAAGCAAGTGGCCTTCAAAAGACAAAACCTTATCCTGCTCCAACA